TTCAACACACAAGCTGACACACACATTCAACATACAAGCTGACCACACACATTCAACATACAAGCTGACCACACACATTCAACACACAAGCTGACCACACACATTCAACATACAAGCTGACCACACACATTCAACACACAAGCTGACCACACACATTCAACACACAAGCTGACCACACACATTCAACACACAAGCTGACCACACACATTCAACACACAAGCTGACCACACACATTCAACACACAAGCTGACACACACACATTCAACATACAAGCTGACCACACACATTCAACATACAAGCTGACCACACACATTCAACACACAAGCTGACCACACACATTCAACACACAAGCTGACCACACACATTCAACATACACCACACACATTCAACATACAAGCTGACATACACATTCAACACACAAGCTGACCATACACATTCAACACACAAGCTGACCACACACATTCAACACACAAGCTGACCACACACATTCAACATACAAGCTGACCACACACATTCAACATACAAGCTGACCACACATTCAACACACAAGCTGACCACACACATTCAACATACAAGCTGACCACACACATTCAACATACAAGCTGACCACACACAAGCTGACCACACACAAGCTGACCACACACAAGCTGACCACACACAAGCTGACCCATATGGTGACCACAACTAATCACATAACAAACAAACAAACCCTCAATACCTAGTGTGACCACAGATTTAACACACAAGCATGCCCCGCATACCATGCAGGAAGCCTGGTTTCACTGTAGCACAGCTGCTGTCAGTAAAGCCAGCCATCATGGGCACATCAGCTTGCCCAGAGGGCCCTCCATGACTGTCCCCACCGTCATCCTGGTTCTGGTTTCTGTTACAGTTCTCTTCCTCATCATGGAGATGAATCAAATGTCCTCGGTCTGACCTCAGCTGGCTAAGCAGGCCTTCCTGTCTGAGAGTGGCCTGGTGAGAATTGGAGACAGATGTCAATTCAAACATACAAGGTTTGTCAATTCAAACATACACAATGATGTCAGGTTTAACATTCAAGCTGATGTCAAGTTAAACATTCAAACTGATGTCAAGTTAAACATTCAAGCTCATGTCAACATACAAGATGTCAGGTTAAACATATAAGCTGATGTCAAGTTAAACATACAAGGTGATGTCAGGTTAAACATACAAGCTGATGTAAAGTTAGACAGATTATGTGATGTCAGGTGAAACATACAAGATGATGTCAGGTGAAACATACAAGATGATGTCAGGTGAAACATACAAGATGATGTCAGGTGAAACATACAAGATGATGTCAGGTGAAACATACAAGGTGATGTCAGGTTAAACATACAAGATGATGTCACATTAAACATATAAGGTGCTGTCAGGTTAAGTGTTCAAGCTGATGTAAAGTTAGGCAGCCAATTTAATGTCAGGTTAAACATTCAAGCTGAGATCAAATTAAACATTCAAGCTGATTTCAGGTTAAACATTCAAGCTGATGTCAAATTAAACATTGAAACTGATGTCAATGTACAAGATGATGTCAGGTTAAACATACAAGATGTCAGGTTAACCTACACATTGATGTCAGGTTAAACATTTAAGCTGATGTCAAGTTAAACATACAAGGTGATGTCAGGTTAAATATATGAGCTGATATTAAGTTAGACAGACAATGTGATGTCAGATGAAATATACAAGAAGATGTCAGGTTAAAGATACATGATGATGTAAAGTTAGACAATCAGACAATGTGATGTCAGGTTAAACATTCAGGTTGATGTAAAGCTTAACATTCAAGCTGATGTCAGGTTAAACATACAAGCTGAGGTCAAGTTGAACACTGAAGCTGATGTCAAGCTAGACATACAAGGTGATGTCAAACTGAACATTCAGGCTGATGTCACATTAAACAAACAACATGATGTCAGATCTGATATCAGATTAAACATTGAACTGTCAAGACCAAAAAGTCTCCCACATTTTAAAGAAACAATCAAGGCACTCACCATCATCAGGTTTCTCTCCTTCTCCACAGATCTCAGGCGAGCTTCTAGTTGTTCTATCTGCCGTCTCAGATGTTGCTCTGTTGTCTGCAAGAGATCTTCCGCCTGTTGTAATCTGCGCTGGTGGCTTTGTTCCATCTGTCTCAATGACACAACTGTGAACACATCAAACTGTCTCAGTGATACAGTCTACGAAACACATCAACTGTCTCAGTGATACAGTCTACGAACACATCAACTGTCTCTGTGAGACAGTCTACGAACACATCAACTGTCTCAGTGATACAGTCTACGAAAACATCAACTGTCTCTGTGATACAGTCTACGAACACATCAACAGACTCAATGACACAGCTGTGAACACATCAACTGTCTCAGTGATACAATCTATGAACACATCAACTGTCTCAGTGATACAGTCTACGAAACACATCAACTGTCTCAGTGATACAGTCTACGAACACATCAACTGACTCAATGACACAACTGTGAACACATCAACTGTCTCAGTGATACAGTCTACAAACACATCAACTGTGCTGTGAACACATCAACTGTCTCAGTGATACAGTCTATGAACACATCAACTGTCTCAGTGATACAGTCTATGAACACATCAACTGTCTCAGTGATACAGTCTACGAACACATCAACTGTCTCAGTGATACAGTCTACGAACATATCAACTGTCTCAGTGATACAGTCTATGAACACATCAACTGTCTCTGTGATACAGTCTACGAAACACATCAACTGTCTCAGTGATACAGTCTACGAACACATCAACTGACTCAATGACACAACTGTGAACACATCAACTGTCTCAGTGATACAGTCTACAAACACATCAACTGTGCTGTGAACACATCAACTGTCTCAGTGATACAGTCTATGAACACATCAACTGTCTCAGTGATACAGTCTATGAACACATCAACTGTCTCAGTGATACAGTCTACGAACACATCAACTGTCTCAGTGATACAGTCTACGAACACATCAACTGTCTCAGTGATACAGTCTATGAACACATCAACTGTCTCAGTGATACAGTCTACGAACACATCAACTGACTCAATGACACAACTGTGAACACCGCAAATGTCTCAGTGATCCATCTACAAACACATCAACTGTGCTGTGAACACATCAACTGTCTCAGTGATACAACTGTGAACACATCAACTGTGTCAAGGATACAATTGTGAACACATCAACTGTCTCAGTGATACAGCTATGAACACATCAACTGTCTCAGTGATACAGCGGTGAACACATCAACTGACTCAGTGATACAGCAGTAAACACATCAACTGACTCAGTGATACAGCGGTAAACACATCAACTGACTCAGTGATACAGCGGTAAATACATCAACTGACTCAGTGATACAGCGGTAAATACATCAACTGTCTCAGTGATACAGCTAAGAACACATCAACTGACTCAGTGATACAGCGGTAAACATATTAACTGTCTCAGTGATACAGCGGTGAACACATCCAATGTCAAAAATCAAGTAAGCAAAGTCAGCAGTGAGCAATCAGTAAAGTAAACAGCTGCAAGGATGCCCTAGATAACAGAAGGAGGAACACCCTAACAAGGCTCATCTATAAGTCTTTGCTGCAAGGATACCCTAGATAACAGAAGGAGGAACACCCCAACAAGGCTCATCTATAAGTCTTTGCTGCAAGGATGCCTTAGATAACCAAAGGTGGAACACCCCAACAAGGCTCATCTATAAGTCTTTGCTGCAAGGATGCCCTAGATAACAGAAGGAGGAACACCCTAACAAGGCTCATCTATAAGTCTTTGCTGCAAGGATACCCTAGATAACAGAAGGAGGAACACCCCAACAAGGCTCATCTATAAGTCTTTGCTGCAAGGATGCCTTAGATAACCAAAGGTGGAACACCCCAACAAGGCTCATCTATAAGTCTTTGCTGCAAGGATACCCTAGATAACAGAAGGAGGAACACCCCAACAAGGCTCATCTATAAGTCTTTGCTGCAAGGATACCCTAGATAACAGAAGGAGGAACACCCTAACAAGGCTCATCTATAAGTCTTTGCTGCAAGGATGCCTTAGATAACCAAAGGTGGAACACCCCAACAAGGCTCATCTATAAGTCTTTTTGTCAGGACTAGTCCCTCTCAGGACTCATCAAACATCTGGGGATGACACAGACATAAACAAGTTGAACATCAAACATCTGGGTTTGACACAGACATAAACAAGTTGAACATCAAACATCTATAGATGACTCAGACATAAACAAGTTGAAAATCAAACATCTGGGGATGACACAGACATAAACAAGTTGAACATCAAACATCTGGGGATGACACAGACATAAACAAGTTGAACATCACAAAGAGGTCCAATCTAGAACCAGTCTTTATTAGGACCAACACGCACACAGGGAAATTATCAGCAAACAAACCACACAATAGACAAGAATAACCAATAAACAGCACTACACATACAGACCAACAATGAGTCATAAATAAGAAAGACAGCGCAATGATAATCAGATTGTTAACTCTGAGAAGCTCTCAAGAGTTACAGACCATGTCATATATAACCAGTTAACTCTGTGACTATCTCAACATTTAATGGCAATTTCACATAGAAACAGTCAAACTGAGAGTCTCTTACAATTTAAGTGCAATGTCACAAACAGTCAGCTCTGATAGTTTCTTAACCTTTAATGACTATGTGACACACAAACAGTCAACTCTGTGAGTTTTTTAACCTTTAATGACTATATGACACACAAACAGTCAACTCTGAGAGTTTCTTAACCTTAAATGACTATGTGACACACAAACAGTCACCTCTGAGAGTTTCTTAACCTTTAATGACTATGTGACACACAAACAGTCACCTCTGAGAGTTTCTTAACCTTTAATGACTATGTGACACACAAACAGTCAACTCTGAAAGTTTCTTAACCTTTAATGACTATGTGACACACAAACAGTCACCTCTGAGAGTTTCTATATCTTTAATGACTATGTGACACATAAACAGTCACCTCTGAGAGTTTCTTCACCTTTAATGACTATGTGACACACAAACAGTCACCTCTTAGAGTTTCTTAACCTTCAATGACTATGTGACACACAGTCACCTCTGAGAGTTTCTTAACCTTTAATGACTATGTGACACACAAACAGTCACCTCTGAGAGTTTCTATACCTTTAATGACTATGTGACACACAAACAGTCACCTCTTAGAGTTTCTTAACCTTCAATGACTATGTGACACACAAACAGTCACAGATTACCAGCTTTGGCCTGTTCTCGTTTGGCAGCATTGAGTTTTCTCTCCAGGTCAGTCAATTGTTCCCGCCAGTGGAGTTCATCTTGGAGTCTTTGCTCTGTCAACACTGGAAACAAATAACAGGGCTAGCGATATTTCGATCATCAATAGACTATATGTATCATGGGTACCAATATATCACTGTGCAAAACAAATCAATGTACAAGTATATCAGTTAATCACCACTCTTTGTCCCCTACAATGTACATAAACGCACTCACCACTCTTTGTCCCCCACCATGTACATAAACGCACTCACCTCTCTTTGTCCCCCACCATGCACATAAATGCACTCACCACTCTTTGTCCCCCACCATGTACATAAATGCACTCACCCTTCTTTGTCTCCCACCATGTACATAAATGCACTCACCTCTCTTTGTCCCCCACCATGTACATAAATGCACTCACCACTCTTTCTCCCTTACCATGTACATAAATGCACTCACCCCACTTTGTTCCCTACCATGTACATAAATGCACTCACCCCACTTTGTTCCCTACCATGTACATAAATGCACTCACCACTCGTTGTCCCCCATCATGTACATAAATGCACTCACCCCTCTTTGTCCCTCACCATGTACATAAATGCACTCACCACTCTTTGTCCCCTACCAAGTACATAAATGCACTCACCCCTCTTTGTCCCCCACCATGTACATAAACGCACTCACCACTCTTTGTCCCCCACCATGTACATAAACGCACTCACCACTCTTTGTCCCCCACCATGTACATAAATGCACTCACCACGCTTTGTCCCCCACCATGTACATAAATGCACTCACCCTTCTTTGTCTCCCACTATGTACATAAATGCACTCACCTCTCTTTGTCCCCCACCATGTACATAAATGCACACACCACTCTTTCTCCCTTACCATGTACATAAATGCACTCACCCCACTTTGTTCCCTACCATGTACATAAATGCACTCACCCTACTTTGTTCCCTACCATGTACATAAATGCACTCACCACTCTTTGTCCCCCATCATGTACATAAATGCACTCACCCCTCTTTGTCCCTCACCATGTACATAAATGCACTCACCACTCTTTGTCCCCTACCATGTACATAAATGCACTCACCACTCTTTGTCCCCCACCATGTACATAAATGCACTCACCACTCTTTGTCCCCCACCATGTACATAAATGCACTCATCACTCTTTGTCCCCCGCCATGTACATAAATGCACTTACCACTCTTTGTCCCCTACATGTACATACATGCACTCACCACTCTTTGTCCCCTACCATGTACATAAATGCACTCACCACTCTTTGTCCCCCACCATGTACATAAATGCACTCACCACTCTTTCTCCCCTACCATGTACATAAATGCACTCACCACTGTTTCTCCCCCACCATGTGCATAAATGCACTCACCACTGTTTCTCCCCTACCATGTACATAAATGCACTCAACACACTGTCTCCCCTACCATCTCAATAAATGTACTCACCACTCTTTCTTCCCTACCATGTAAACAATTCCACTCACCACTCTCTATCCCCCATTACGTATACAAATGCACTCACCACTCTCTATCCCCCACTGCATACACAAATACACTCACCATTCTCTATCCCCCAATTACGTACACAAATACACTCACCATTCTCTATCCCCAATTACGTACACAAATGCACTCACCACTCTCTACCTCCCCCCTCCCCCATGTATAGAAGTGCACCCATCCCTCTATCCCTAACCAAAACCATGTACACAAGTGCTTGCACCACTCTCCATCCCACACCATGTACACACATGCACTAACCACTCTCCAGTCCCCCACTATGTTAACAAGTGCTCGCACAACACTCTCCATCCCACACCATGTTCACAAGTGCTCTCATCACTCCATCCCACACTATGTACACAAGTGCACTCACCACTATATCCCTCACTATGTACACAAGTGCACTCACCACTCTATCTCACACTATGTACACAAGTGCACTTACCACTCTATCCCTCACTATGTACACAAGAGCACTCACCATGCTATCCTACACTATGTACACAAGTGTACTCACCAATCTATCTCACACTATGTACACAAGTGCACTTACCACTCTATCCCTCACTATGTACACAAGTGCACTCACCATGCTATCCTACACTATGTAAACAAGTGTACTCACCATGCTATCCCACACTATGTACACACATGCACTTACCACTCTATCCCTCACTATGTACACAAGTGCACTCACCATGCTATCCTACACTATGTAAACAAGTGTACTCACCATGCTATCCCACACTATGTACACAAATGCACTCACCACTCTATCCAACACTATGTACACAAGTGCACTCACCATGCTCTATGCCTCGTTCATGTCTAGAAAGTTCCGCTTGTAGTTGTTTGATTCTGTTGTCCTTCTCCTGAACATCCTCCTTCAAATTGTCAACCTCTTCCGCCAGCTCTCTACACTCCTGAAACCAGACCACATGAGGCAGACAGGTTAAAGCAGACCACATGAGGCAGACAGGATAAACCAGACCACATTAGGCAGACAGGATAAAGCAGACCACATTAGACAGACAGGATAAACCAGACCACATTAGGCAGACAGACAGGATAGGCAACCATAAAGACAGGATACCACATTAGGCAGACAGGATAAACCAGACCATTATTAGGCAGACAGGATAAACCAGACCACATTAGGCAGACAGGATAAACAGGGCATAAGGATAAAACCAGACCACATTAGGCAGAGGATAAACAGACAGGCAGACAGGATAAACCAGACCACATTAGGCAGACAGGATAAAGCAGACCACATTAGGCAGACAGGATAAACCAGACCACATTAGGCAGACAGGATAAACCAGACCACATTAGGCAGACAGGATAAACCAGACCACATTAGGCAGACAGGATAAACCAGACCACATTAGGCAGACAGGATAAACCAGACCAGACAGGATAAACCAGACCAACATTAGGCAGACAGAAACCAGACAGGCAGACAGGATAAACCAGACCACATTAGGCAGACACAGGCTAAACCAGACCACATTAAGCAGACAGGATAAAGCAGACCACATTAGGCAGACAGACGGCAGGATAAACCAGACCACATTAGGCAACAGGATAGACAGTATAAGGCAGACAGGATGAACAGACCACATTAGGCAACAGGATAAACCAGGCAGACAGGATAAAGCAGACCACATTAAGAAGCAGACCACATTAGGCAGACAGGATAAACCAGACCACATTAGGCAGACAGGATAAACCAGTACCACATTAGGCAGAGGACAGGCAGACAGGATAAACCAGACAACATTAGGCAGACAGGATAAAGCAAACCATTAGGCAGACAGGATAAAGCAGACAGGCAGAACCAGATACCACATTAGGCAGACAAGATAAACCAGACCACATTAAGCAGACAGGATAAAGCAGACCACATTAGGCAGAAGGATAAACAGACAGACAAAATAAAGCAGGATAAACCAGACCACATTAGGCAGATAAACCAGACACATTAGGCAGCAGATAAACAACTGACAGGATAAGCAGAACAACATTAGGCAGACAGGATAAAAACATTAGCAGACAGGATAAAGGATAAGACAGCAAACCAGGTACCACATTAGGCAGACAGGATAAAGCAGACAGGAGGCAGACAGATAAAAGCAGACCAAAGGCAGAAAGCAGACAGGATAAAGCAGACCACATTAGGCAGACAGGATAAAGCAGACCATATTAGGCAGAAACAACCATATTAGGCAGACAGGAATAAACCAGACCACATTAGATAAACCAGACTAGATAAAAAAGCAGACCAGATAGACAGCAGACCAGACCACATTAAAGACAGGATAAACAGACCATATAAACAGACCAGATAAAGTAGACCAGATAAAGTAGACCAGATAAAACAGATCAGATAAAACAAACCAGATAAAATAGACCAGATAAAACACACTACTACATAAAGCAGACCAGATAAAATAGACCAGATAAAACAGACCAGATAAAACAGACCAGATAAAACATAAAAGATAAAAATAGACCAGATAAAACGGACCAGAAAAAATAGATAAGATAAAACAGACCAGATAAACCAGACCAGATAAAACAGACCAGATAAATCAGACAACAAACTCGAATAGAATAAAGAGATAAGGATAAAACTGAACACATAAATCAGACACAATAAAGCAGACCAGATAAACAGGATAATCAAACCTCATCTGTAACTAGAACAAAGAGACAACCTGTACTCACAGACCCTCCCAGACAGACTGCACACACACTCACAGACAGACAGACTGCAAGTGTGCAGCTTCTATCAACACCTGTCTACAGTGTTATAACACACATTTATAATGCTGTGTATAAATCAAATGTATGATACTATTATAACCCAAATTTATAACAGATTTATAACACAGTGTTATAACACAAATTTATAACAGATTTATAGCACTGATAATCTGTTTCTCATCTAATGACTCCCAAAGTGGACCAGCCTGGCACAGAAAGATAACCAACTGTAACAGCACACACTCACAGACACTCTCATGCACACACACACACATACATTAGGAAGCAAATGGACACAAAAGCATACACACTTACTAACAGACAAAGAGGCACACCTGCAACTTGAGCTGCAACTGCTGCTCCAAGACGGCCATGTTCTCTTTCACTGAGCTCACCTCTTTGGTCACTGTGAGCAGAACACACTCATGAAGGTGACAAATATCACTCACACATGATCCACACACACACATACATGAGCAGACACACACTCTCACATACACTAATCTCCACATATATTGAAACAAACACACACTTACACTGACACCTAACCCACACATACACTCACACCTAACCCACACATACACTCACACCTAACCCACACATACACTCATACCTAACCTTTACTTACACTCAAAATAAGCCACTCACACAATAATACTACCCCACATATCAATTCAGACCAAAATTATGAAACACTCAAACCTAACCCTGACAAACATTTACAACTACTACACACACACTCACACCTAACCCACACATACACTCACACCTAACTCACACATACACCCGCACCTAACTCATACATACACTCACATTTTACCCACACAGACAATCACACCTAACTCAAATAAACACTCCTAATTACCAGACACACAGTCCCACTTAACTAACACATACATGCATATCTTACCATTAACCCACACGTACACTAACACTAAACCACACCTTAATCACATATAAACTCAGAATTAATACACCCAATCCCACTGAACCACACATAAATTCATACTAACCCACATATACACTCGCACTATCCACACAAACACTCATACTTAACCTAGTAATCACCACACACTCGCACTAAGTCACACATACACGCACACCTTAATCACACACTCACACACACTCAGAATTAACAAACGCAAACAATCATACCGAACCATACATACACCCACACATACATTCACAATTACCCCCATAAATAATCACACCTAACCCAGCAACATACACATACACTCGCACTTAACAACACATACACTCATACTGACCCACATATACTCACATCTACCAACACATACATTAACATTAACCCACACATACACTCATACTAACGCATACATATACTTACACCTACCCAACATTTACAATATGCACTAACAACAAGCGAATACTAACCACACATTTATTCACACCTAACCCATATTTACAGTCACAAACCCACAAATATACTCAAACTAACCAACATATACACTAACACCAACCAATACATTCACTCACAGTTATCCTACATTTAACATCATAAACTCTCACCAAGCAAACACTACTCATTAAAAATATTTATGCTAAGTTCAGATTAACCACATATAAAGTCTTCATTCGGTAAATTAACCAGGTCTACCTTCTCATGTCTAAGCTAACCAAACACACAAAATAACCTGGTAAACTATCCAGACACGTAAACTAACTAGAAAATCTAACCAGGGTAACTAACCAGACAGACATTCTAATCATGTTAACTAACCAGACAGACAATCTAATCATGTAAACTAACCAGACACACAAAATAACCCGGTAAATTAACCAGACAGACAATCTAATTATGTAAACTAATGAGACTAACCAGGTTAACTAACCAGACAAACAATCTAATCATGTAAACTAATGAGACAATCTAACCAGGTAAATTAACTAGACAGACAATCTAATCATGTAAAGTAATGAGACAATCAAACCAGGTTAATTAACCAAACAGACATTCTAATCATGTGAACCAATGAGACAATCTCTAAAGGTTAACTAACCAGACACAAAATCTAATCATGTAAACTAACGAGACAATCTAACCAGGTTAACTAACCAGACAGACATTCTAATCATGAAAACTAACCAGACAATCTAACCAGGTTAACTAACCAGACAGACAATCTAATCATGTAAAATAACCAGACAGACAATCTAATCACGTAAACTAGTGAGACAATCTAACCAGGTTAACTAACCAGACAGACAATCTAAACATGTAAACTAACCAGACAGACAATCTAAACATGTAAACTAACCAGACACACAATCTAATCATGTAAACTAATGAGACAATCTAACCAGGTTAATTAACCAGACAGACATTCTAATCTTGTAAAACAATGAGACAATCTAACCAGTTAAATAACCAGACAGGCATTCTAATCATGTAAACTAACCAGACAGACAATCTAAACATGTAAACTAACGAGACAATCTAACCAGGTTAACTAACCAGACAGACAATCTAATCAGACAGACAATCTAATCATGTAAACTAACCAGACAATGTAACTATGTTATCTAACCAGACAATCTAATCATGTAAACTAACCAAACAGAAAATCTAATCATGTAAACTAACGAGACAAACAAATCTAATCATGTAAACTAACGAGACAAACAAATCTAATCATGTAAACTAACCAGACAGACAAATCTAATCATGTAAACTAATGAGACAAACAAATCTAATCATGTAAACTAACCAGACAAACAAATCTAATCATGTAAACTAACCAGACAAACAAATCTAATCATGTAAACTAACCAGACAAACAAATCTAATCATGTAAACTAACCAGACAAACAAATCTAATCATGTAAACTAACGAGACAAACAAATCTAATCATGTAAACTAACGAGACAAACAAATCTAATCATGTAAACTAACCAGACAAACAAATCTAATCATGTAAACTAACCAGACAATGTAACTATGTTATCTAACCAGATAATCTAATCATGTAAACTAGCCAGACAGAAAATCTAATCATGTAAACTAACCAGAATGACAATCTAATCATGTAAACTAACCAGATAGAAAATCTTATTATGCAAACTAGTTAGACAGGCAATTAAACTATGTAAACTAATTAGACAGACACACATGACATAAACCTACACTGAGCCCTAATCTCCGCCACCGTGACTGACCAGTGTTCTGTGTCTGCCCTGAGTTGTGCTGCCAGAGTATCTCTCTCCTGTGTCAGCTGCTCCAGTTCCTGGTACACAAGCTTGTCACTGTCCCTGAAACAGATGGCATGAGGCTTTCCTGGTTAGAGACAAGGCCTGTGTGGCTATAGATGACAAAGTGGTGCTCTCACAAATAACACACTTGACAAGACACTCAATCAAGTTCTAGCACAGATGTGGCTTTATTGCCGCCCCCATGGTGATAGCACAGTTTAACATTCACATGCACATGTGTGCATGTGTGTGTGTGTGTGTGTTCATGTGTGTGGAGGCATGAGTGCAGGTCCTGATGTACAGTTTGGAAGACTTAAAAAAAATACCAGCTCACCTGACCTCTGACCTGGAATCGCCTCTATCGCCAGGTGACACCGGCAACAGATTCTCAGTGCCCCTGGCAACACCGCCCGCAAGAGCCCACTTCCTGGCCAGCTGGGCTGGAAATCAAAGCACCGACAAGATCAACACATGAACAAACAAATGTTAAACAAAATTTATTTTCAAAAAGTTAACAATTGGGCACACATGGCTGTCTAAAACTGCATCCTTACTCCATACTTACAATATTTCATTCATATATGAGATTAGACCAGTCATGTATCTCACACACTATTTCACTCATACATGAGATTAGACCAGTCATGTATCTCACACACTATTTCACTCATACATGAGATTAGACCAGTCAAGTATCTCATACATTATTTCCCTCATATATGAGATTAGACCAGTCATGTATCTCACACACTATTTCACTCATACATGAAATTAGACCAGTCATGTATCTCACACATTATTTCATTCATACATGAGATTAGACCAGTCAAGTATCTCATACATTATTTCCCTCATATATGAGATTAGCCCAGTCATGTATCTCACACACTATTTCACTCATACATAAAATCAGACCAGTCATGTATCTCACATAATATTTCATTCACACATGAGATTAGACCAGTCATGTATCTCACACAATATTTCATTCATACATGAGATTAGCCCAGTCATGAACCTCAAACATTATTTCATTCATAGATCAGATTAGACCAGTCATGTTATCTCATACAATATTTCATTCGTATATGAAATTAAACCAGTCATGTAACTCAAAAATTTTTAATTTATACATGAAATTAGACCAGTCAAACATTATGTTTTGTAGCCTGGACAAAAAATTGTCAACGAAATATACATTTCATTTTCCTGTATTTGTCCTGAAAAAAAGCAGCTCGTATATTGTACTGCCAAGTGAGAGAACTGGCTGTGAGGTTGTGCTGCAGATAAACTCTGACATCCCATGGACACATGTACTTCTATGTTAGAGAACAGGCTGAGAGGTTGTGCTACAGATAAACCCTGACATCTCATGGACACATGTACTTCTATGTTAGAGAACAGGCTGAGAGGTTGTGCTACAGATAAACCCTGACATCTCATGGACACATGTATTTCTATGTTAGAGAACAGGCTGAGGTTGTGCTACAGATAAACTCTGACATCTCATGGACACATGTATTTCTATGTTAGAGAACAGGCTGAGGTTGTGCTACAGATAAACTCTGACATCCCATGGACACATGTACTTCTATGTTAGAGAACAGGCTGTGAGGTTTTGCTACAGATAAACTCTGACATCCCATGGACACATGTACTTCTATGTTAGAGAACAGGCTGAGGTTGTGCTACAGATAAACTCTGACATCCCATGGCCACATGTACTTCTATGTTAGAGAACAGGCTGTGAGGTTGTGCTACAGATAAACTCTGACATCTCATGGACACATGTACTTCTATGTTAGAGAACAGGCTGAGGTTGTGCTACAGATAAACCCTGATATCTCATGGACACATGTACTTCTATGTTAGAGAACAGTCTGAGGTTGTGCTACTGATAAACCCTAACATCTCATGGACACATGTACTTCTATGTTAGAGAACAGGCTGTGAGGTTGTGCTACAGATAAACCCTGACATCTCATGGACACATGTACTTCTATGTTAGAGAACAGGCTGTGAGGTTGTGCTACAGATAAACCCTGATATCTCATGGACACATGTACTTCTATGTTAGAAAACTGGCTGTGAGGTTGCGCTACAGATAAACCCTGAAATCCTATGGTCACACGTACTTCTATGTTAGAGAACAGGCTGTGAGGTTGTGCTACAGATAAACCCTGACATCCTATGGACACATGTACTTCTATGTTAGAGAACTGGCTGTGAGGTTGTGCTACAGATAAACCCTGACATCTCATGGCCACATGTACTTCTATGTTAGAGAACAGGCTGTGAGGTTGTGCTACAGATAAACCCTGACATCCCATGGACACATGTACTTCTATGTTAGAGAACAGGCTGAGGTTGTGCTACAGATAAACCCTAACATCTCATGGACACATGTACTTCTATGTTAGAAAACTGGCTGTGAGGTTGCGCTACAGATAAACCCTGAAATCCTATGGTCACACGTACTTCTATGTTAGAGAACAGGCTGAGGTTGTGCTACAGATAAACCCTGACATCCCATAGACACATGTACTTCTATGTTAGAGAACAGTCTGAGGTTGTGCTACAGATAAACCCTGACATCTCATGGACACATGTACTTCTATGTTAGAGAACTGGCTGTGGTTGTGCTACAGATAAACCCTGACATCCCATGGACACATGTACTTCTATGTTAGAGAACAGGCTGTGAGGTTGTGCTACAGATAAACCCTGACATCTCATGAACACATGTACTTCTATGTTAGAGAACAGGCTGAGAGGTTGTGCTACAGATAAACCTTGACATCTCATGGACACATGTACTTCTATGTTAGAGAACAGGCTGAGGTTGTGCTACAGATAAACCCTGATATATCATGGACACATGTACTTCTATGTTAGAGAACAGGCTGAGAGGTTGTGCTACAGATAAACCCTGATATCTCATGGACACATGTACTTCTATGTTAGAGAACAGGCTGTGAGGTTGTGCTACAGATAAACTCTGATATCCCATGGACACATGTACTTCTATGTTAGAGAACAGGCTGTGAGGTTGTGCTACAGATAAACTCTGATATCCCATGGACACATGTACTACCATGTTAGAGAACAGGCTGAGGTTGTGCTACAGATAAACCCCGATATCTCATGGACACATGTACTTCTATGTTAGAGAACAGGCTGTGAAGTTGTGCTACAGATAAACTCTGATATCTCTGATGACCTTCGCTGAGGTCGGCTGGGAGCAACCAGACACAACATCCACCTACTTTTGATAAATTCCATGCGGTTTGTGGCAAAGCTGACCCGCTGATCACATTTTTTCAGATCGGTGGACTTCTGCTCCATCATCTCTATGGTCTTATCCATTTGCTTCTTCATTCTAGAGTAGACACAACAAAATGTGACAAGTGACATGTCAAAACATCACATCAACCAGATACTGTTATGTTATGTTATGTTACCACAATCTACGTCACTGCACGTTGGGCATTTCCATGCATGCTCAGTCCTCTGATGCAGCAGCCACTCCAAAGTACTTCTACTAATTGTTCCCATGAGAAGCTGGTTATATTGTCTCCTATCTCGTCCTCATAAATGGCATAGACATGCTTTACCATGCTTTACTCCCATGTCACACAATCGTGTTAGTGTCAGGAATTCTTCATTATCCACTAGCCCAGTTTGTACAGCGTTGACGATATCTGCCCTGTTCATGCTTTTTTCCCACAATCCTTAGGGCAGTGCTTGCTAGTTTGGTCCGCTGGCTTATTTTCCTTTACGCCCGCATGACCCGGTGTATAGATCCAGGTGTGGGAGGTTAAGTGTGATTTTCGAATGCTTTCTACCCATTCAGAGCGCATACTGCCTGTTGCTATCTTCTGATGCATATTCATGGAGTCCGAGGCAGTTACTGCCTGTGTTGCGGTTTGCTCAGATACCTATACTAATGCTCTAGAAGCAGCGCCTATTTCCATGGTCATGCTTGACGTGGTTGTCTCGTGAGCGCCGCTGTCCTTCTGTATTGTTTTCCCCCTTCTTTGCGCTGTGTATGCCCACGCTGACCTTGATCTGTGCTTCATGGATCCATCTGTGTAGATGATGATATCTTGTGGTCTGAATGCTGATCTATCAGTTCCCTTACTTCTGTGTTTACAGCTGCAGGAATTTTATCCCGCAGCACCTTCCGAGTGTGATGACAATGTTAGAGATGCCATGCATGTGTATACGTCCAATCTTTTCCATGACTGATCACGTCTAGGTCACATACCTGCTGGATTAAATCCTCAGCCTTTGCCATCCAAGAGCGGCCTCTTTTGAGACGCGTTCCTTTTGTGTCGTGTATAGCTTTGTGTAATGGGTGGTTAACGTCTGCCGATACCCTCATGTAAGCCTTGACCTGTGCCACTTTGTACCTGCTTGTCATAGTCGGCAGACCCAGGATATAATGCATGGCGTTTCAGGAGGTGTCTTTTGTGCAGCCGAGTATGAGTCTCATGGCCTCATTTTGTACTCGGTCCAGTCTTTCTAGCTGGGTTTTGCTGACAGTGAGGAGGACAAGACCATAGTCAATGACGCTAAGCACAAGCCCTTGATAGAGAAGGAAAAGTAGACGTTGTGAGTGAAACTACAACAGATAAACAGTAGACATATAGCAGATATCCAGCAGATACACATCACATTAAGCCACAGTGATGCCATTACAGACAGCTGCATGTCTTACCCACATAGAGGATTCAATTGTGACTCGGAGATCCACTTAGTTTTATCACATGTGATACAGATCCACTTAGCTTTATCACATATGATACAGAGATCCACTTAGCTTTATCACATGTGATTCAGAGATCCACTTAGCTTTATCACATGTGATACAGAGATCCACTTAGCTTTATCACATGTGATACAGAGATCCACTTAGCTTTATCACATGCGATTCAGAGATCCACTTAGCTTTATCACATGTGATTCAGAGATCCATACAGTTCACAGATACATGAACGCAGTTCACAGACACATGTGATTCAGAGATCCATACAGTTCACAGATACATGAACGCAGTTCACAGACACATGTGATTCAGAGATCCATACAGTTCACAGATACATGAACGCAGTTCACAGACACATGTGATTCAGAGATCCATACAGTTCACAGATACATGAACGCAGTTCACAGACACATGTGTACACTCACTCGTGCACAAACTCTGCCAGCAACTCCACACTGTGATAGTCCCGCTTGGACTGGTCGTCCAGGCAGACAGCAACTTGGTGAGTGTTCTCACATTCTTCTTGTAGTCTCTAAACACAGAAATAAACAGACTGGATCTTCGGCCTGAACTGGGTTAAACAACGCATTAACATCAGGACACAAGGGTAGTAACCCTAAGTGCTCCGTTCTACTTTTAACTCAAACCTGAGTTTAAAGAATCTCAACACAGTGTACGAACTCTGTAGCACTGGCGAGGATCCTGAAATACTTTGCGTAGATTTTTAATTACTAATTTTAGCCGGGTAAAACTTTTAGGCTATTTTTTTCGATTTCCAACTGCCAGGGGATTTTTCGTGCGCATCAATCAAAGAAACATCCGATCTTACTACCCAGACATCAGGGGATTGTTTCATGCACATCAATCAAAGAAACATCCGATCCTACTACCCAGACACCAGGGGATTGTTTCATGCACATCAATCAAAGAAACATCCGATCTTACAACCCAGACACCAGGGGATTTTTTCGTGCACATCAATCAAAGAAACATCCGATCTTACAACCCAGACACCAGGGGATTGTTTCGTGCACATCAATCAAAGAAACATCCGATCTTACTACCTAGACACCAGGGGATTGTTTCGTGCACATCCATCAAAGAAACATCTGATCTTACTACCCAGACACTAGGGGATTTTTTCGTGCACATCAATCAAAGAAACATCCGATCTTACTACCCAGACACCAGGGGATTGTTTCGTGCACATCCATCAAAGAAACATTCGATCTTACTACCCAGACACCAGGGGATTTTTCGTGCACATCCATCAAAGAAACATCCGATCTTACTACCCAGACACCAGGGGATTGTTTCGTGCACATCCATCAAAGAAACATCCGATCTTACTACCCAGACACCAGGGGATTTTTCGTGCACATCAATCAAAGAAACATCCGATCTTACTACCCAGACACCAGGGGATTTTTTCGTGCACATCAATCAAAGAAACATCCGATCTTACAACCCAGACACCAGGGGATTTTTTCGTGCACATCAATCAAAGAAACATCCGATCTTACAACCCAGACACCAGGGGATTGTTTCGTGCACATCAATCAAAGAAACATCCGATCTTACTACCTAGACACCAGGGGATTGTTTCATGCACATCCATCAAAGAAACATCCGATCTTACTACCCAGACACCAGGGGATTTTTTCGTGCACATCAATCAAAGAAACATTCGATCTTACTACCTAGACACCAGGGGATTGTTTCGTGCACATCCATCAAAGAAACATCCAATCTTACTACCTAGACACCAGAGGATTTTTCGTGCACATCCATCAAAGAAACATCCGATCTTACTACCCAGACACCAGGGGATTGTTTCGTGCACATCAATCAAAGAAACATCCGATCTTACTACCTAGACACCAGGGGATTGTTTCATGCACATCCGTCAAAGAAACATCCGATCTTACTACCCAGACACCAGGGGATTTTTTCGTGCACATCAATCAAAGAAACATTCGATCTTACTACCTAGACACCAGGGGATTGTTTCACGCACATCCATCAAAGAAACATCCAATCTTACTACCTAGACACCAGGGGATTTTTCGTGCACATCCATCAAAGAAACATCCGATCTTACTACCCAGACACCAGGGGATTTTTCGTGCACATTCATCAAAGAAACATCCGATCTTACTACCTAGACACCAGGGGATTGTTTCATGCACATCCATCAAAGAAACATCTGATCTTACTACCTAGACACCAGGGGATTGTTTCATGCACATCCATCAAAGAAACATCCGATCTTACTACCCAGACACCAGGGGATTTTTCGTGCACATCCATCAATGAAACATCCAATCTTACTACCCAGACACCAGGGGATTGTTTCGTGCACATCCATCAAAGAAACATCCGATCTTACTACCCAGACACCAGGGGATTTTTTCGTGCACATCGATCAAAGAAACATCTGATCTTACTACCCAGACACCAGGGGAAATTATTAGACGTAAATGTAAAAAAAATCCCAGCCTCCAATGGGACCTGAACCTAGGACCTCTAGCACTCAAGGTGGACGGCATGTCCCATATGGGTCTTCAGTCATCAACACCTGCTCTATTACCAATAACATTTCCTTTACACCACCTGATCTACCAACATCTCCAACAAACACACCACCTGATCTACCATCACAACATCTCCAACAAACACACCACCTGATCTACCAACATCTCCAACGAACACACCACCTGTTCTACCATCACAACATCTCTAACAAACACACCACCTGATCTACCAACAGAACATCTCCAACAAACACACCACCTGATCTACCAACATCTCCAACAAACACACCACCTGATCTACCATCACAACATCTCCAACAAACACACCACCTGGTCTACCATCAGAACATTTCCAACAAACACACCACCTGATCTACCAACATCTCCAACAAACACACCACCTGATCTACCAACATCTCCAACAAACACACCACCTGGTCTACCATCAGAACATTTCCAACAAACACACCACCTGATCTACCAACATCTCCAACAAACACACCACCTGATCTACCATCACAACATTTCCAACAAACACACCACCTGATCTACCATCAACATCTCCAACAAACACCACCTAATCTGACACATGTAACATCAACATCTCCAACAAACACACTACCTGCTCTACCATCAACATCTCCAACAAACACACCTCCTGCTCTACCAACATCTCCAACAAACACACTACCTGCTCTACCATCAACATCTCCAACAAACACACCACCAGATTTACTAAAAACATCTCCAACAAACACACCACCTGATCTACCAAAAACATCTCCAACAAACACACCACCTTATCTACCAAAAACATCTCCAACAAACACACCACCTGCTCTAACATCAACATCTCCAACAAACACACCACCTGCTCTAACATCAACATCTCCAACAAACACACCACCTGCTCTAACATGAACATCTCCAACAAACACACCACTTGCTTTAACATGAACATCTCCAACAAATACACAACCTGATCTACCAAAAACATCTCCAACAAACACACCACCTTATCTACCAAAAACATCTCCAACTAACACACCACCTGCTCTAACATCAACATCTCCAACAAACAAACCACCTTCTCTAACATCAACATCTCCAACAAACACATCACCTGCTCTAACATCAACATCTCTAACAAACACACCACCTGCTCTAACATTAACATCTCCAATAAACACACCACATGCTCTACCGCCAACATCTCCAACAAACACACCACCTGATCTACCAAAAACATCTCCAACAAACACACCACCTGATCTACCAAAAACATCTCCAACAAATACACAACCTGATCTACCAAAAACATCTCCAACAAACACACCACTTAATCTACCATCACAACATCTCCAACAAACACACCTCCTGCTCTAACATCAACATCTCCAACAAACACACCACTTAATCTACCATCACAACATCTCCAACAAACACACCACCTGCTCTAACATCAACATCTCCAACAAACACACCACTTGATCTACCATCACAACATCTCCAACAAACACACCACCTGATCTACCATCACAACATCTCCAACAAACACTCCACCTGATCTACCAAAAACATCTCCAACAAACACACCACCTGATCTACCAAAAACATCTCCAACAAACACACCACTTGATCTACCATCACAACATCTCCAACAAACACACCACCTGATCTACCAAAAACATCTCCAACAAACACACCACCTGATTTACCAAAAACATCTCCAACAAACACACCACCTGCTCTACGACCAACATCTCCAACAATCACACTACCTGATCTACCACCAACAACATCTCCACATGAGCTGGTTTCCCTTCGTGCAACATCCACAATATTGCTCTCTTCTTCTTAAACTTAGTTCTCAGCTGATTGTGTCTCAGGACAAAACTTAGCTCTGTGCTGATTGTGTCTCAGGACAAAACTTAGCTCTGTGCTGATTGTGTCTCAGGACAAAACTTAGTTCTCTGCTGATCGTGTCTCAGAACAAAACTTAGTTCTCTGCTGATTGTGTCTCAGGACAAAACTTAGCTCTGTGCTGATCGTATCTCAGGACAAAACTTAGTTCTGTGCTGATTGTGTCTTAGGACAAAACTTAGTTCTGTGCTGATCGCGTCTCAGGACAAAACTTAGTTCTCTGCTGATTGTGTCTCAGGACAAAACTTAGCTCTGTGTTGATTGTGTCTCAGGACAAAACTTCGTTCTGTGCTTATTGTGTCTCAGGACAAAACTTAGCTCTGTGCTGATTGTGTCTCAGGACAAAACTTCGTTCTGTGCTGATTGTGTCTCAGGACAAAACTTAGTTCTGTGCTGATCGCGTCTCAGGACAAAACTTAGTTCTCTGCTGATTGTGTCTCAGGACAAAACTTAGCTCTGTGCTGATTGTGTCTCAGGACAAAACTTCGTTCTGTGCTGATTGTGTCTCAGGACAAAACTTAGTTCTGTGCTGATTGTGTCTCAGGACAAAACTTAGTTCTGTGCTGATTGTGTCTCAGGACAAAACTGAGTCTCACTTTATGCTGGTTGTCATCTCTCTGCTGTGAACTCTCAGTGATTTCGGACGAGTTGAGCGGTTGATATCATCAGACAATTACCTCTACAGCCCAGCCACCTTCATCATCAGACACCTACCTCTACAACCACCTACATCATCAGACACCTACCTCTACAGCCACCTACATCATCAGACAACTACCTCTACAGCCACCTACATCATCAGACACCTTCCTCTACAGCCACCTAAATCATCAGACAACTACCTCTACAGCCACCTACATCATCAGACAACTACCTCTACAGCAACCTACATCATCAGACACCTTCCTCTACAGCCACCTACATCATCAGACAACTACCTCTACAGCCACCTACATCATCAGACAACTACCTCTACAGAAACCTACATCATCAGACAACTACCTCTACAGCAACCTACATCATCAGACAACTACCTATACAGCTACCTACATCATCAGACAACTACCTCTACAGCAACCTACATCATCAGACAACTACCTCTACAGCCACCTACATCATCAGACAACTACCTCTACAGCAACCTACATCATCAGACACCTTCCTCTACAGCAACCTACATCATCAGACAACTACCTCTACAGCCACCTACGTCATCAGACAACTACCTCTACAGAAACCTACATCATCAGACAACTACCTCTACAGCCACCTACATTATCAGACACCTTCCTCTACAGCCACTTACATCATCAGACAACTACCTCTACAGAAACCTACATCATCAGACAACTACCTCTACAGCAACCTACATCATCAGACAACTACCTATACAGCTACCTACATCATCAGACAACTACCTCTACAGCAACCTACATCATCAGACAACTACCTCTACAGCCACCTACATCATCAGACAACTACCTCTACAGCAACCTACATCATCAGACACCTTCCTCTACAGCAACCTACATCATCAGACAACTACCTCTACAGCCACCTACATCATCAGACAACTACCTCTACAGCCACCTACATCATCAGACAACTACCTCTACAGCCACCTACATCATCAGACACCTTCCTCTACAGCCACCTACATCATCAGACAACTACCTCTACAGCCACCTACATCATCAGACAACTACCTCTACAGCCACCTACATCATCAGACAACTACCTCTACAGCAACCTACATCATCAGACAACTACCTCTACAGCCACCTACATCATCAGACAACTACCTCTACAGCCACCTACATCATCAGACACCTTCCTCTACAGCCACCTACATCATCAGACAACTACCTCTACAGCCACCTACATCATCAGACAACTACCTCTACAGCCACCTACATCATCAGACAACTACCTTTACAGCAACCTACATCATCAGACAACTACCTCTACAGCCACCTACATCATCAGACAACTACCTCTACAGCCACCTACATCATCAGACAACTATCTCTACAGCCACCTACATCATCAGACAACTACCTCTACAGCCACCTACATCATCAGACAACTACCTCTACAGAAACCTACATCATCAAACAACTACCTCTACAGCAACCTACATCATCAGACAACTACCTCTACAGCCACCTACATCATCAGACACCTTCCTCTACAGCCACCTACATCATCAGACACCTTCCTCTACAGCCACCTACATCATCAGACAACTACCTCTACAGCCACCTACATCATCAGACAACTACCTCTACAGCCACCTACATCATCAGACAACTACCTCTACAGAAACCTACATCATCAGACAACTACCTCTACAGAAACCTACATCATCAGACAACTACCTCTACAGAAACCTACATCATCAGACAACTACCTCTACAGAAACCTACATCATCAGACAACTACCTCTACAGAAACCTACATCATCAGACAACTACCTCTACAGCCACCTACATCATCAGACACCTTCCTCTACAGCCACCTACATCATCAGACACCTTCCTCTACAGCCACCTACATCATCAGACAACTACCTCTACAGCCACCTACATCATCAGACAACTACCTCTACAGCAACCTACATCATCAGACAACTACCTCTACAGCAACCTACATCATCAGACAACTACCTCTACAGCCACCTACATCATCAGACAACTACCTCTACAGCCACCTACATCATCAGACAACTACCTCTACAGCCACCTACATCATCAGATACCTACCTCTACAGCCACCTACATCATCAGACACCTACCTCTACAGCCACCTACATCATCAGACAACTACCTCTACAGCCACCTACATCATCAGACAACTACCTCTACAGCAACCTACATCATCAGACACCTACCTCTACAGCCACCTACATCATCAGACAACTACCTCTACAGCCACCTACATCATCAGACAACTACCTCTACAGCCACCTACATCATCAGACAAGTACCTCTACAGCCACCTACATCATTAGACACCTTCCTCTACAGCCACCTACATCATCAGACACCTTCCTCTACAGCCACCTACATCATCAGACAACTACCTCTACAGCCACCTACATCATCAGACAACTACCTCTACAGCCACCTACATCATCAGACAACTACCTCTACAGCAACCTACATCATCAGACAACTTCCTCTACAGCCACCTACATCATCAGACACCTACCTCTACAGCCACCTACATCATCAGACAACTACCTCTACAGCCACCTACATCATCAGACACCTTCCTCTACAGCGACCTACATCATCAGGCACCTTCCTCTACAGCCACCTACATCATCAGAACCTTCCTCTACAGCCACCTACATCATCAGACACCTACCTCTACAGCCACCTACATCATCAGACAACTACCTCTACAGCCACCTACATCATCAGACAACTACCTCTACAGCCACCTACATCATCAGACAACTACCTCTACAGCAACCTACATCATCAGACACCTTCCTCTACAGCAACCTACATCATCAGACAACTACCTCTACAGCCACCTACATCATCAGACAACTACCTCTACAGAAACCTACATCATCAGACAACTACCTCTACAGCCACCTACATCATCAGACACCTTCCTCTACAGCCACTTACATCATCAGACAACTACCTCTACAGAAACCTACATCATCAGACAACTACCTCTACAGCAACCTACATCATCAGACAACTACCTATACAGCTACCTACATCATCAGACAACTACCTCTACAGCAACCTACATCATCAGACAACTACCTCTACAGCCACCTACATCATCAGACAACTACCTCTACAGCAACCTACATCATCAGACACCTTCCTCTACAGCAACCTACATCATCAGACAACTACCTCTACAGCCACCTACATCATCAGAACCTTCCTCTACAGCCACCTACATCATCAGGCACCTTCCTCTACAGCCACCTACATCATCAGAACCTTCCTCTACAGCCACCTACATCATCAGGCACCTTCCTCTACAGCCACCTACATCATCAGAACCTTCCTCTACAGCCACCTACATCATCAGACACCTACCTCTACAGCCACCTACATCATCAGACAACTACCTCTACAGCCACCTACATCATCAGACAACTACCTCTACAGCCACCTACATCATCAGACAACTACCTCTACAGCAACCTACATCATCAGACACCTTCCTCTACAGCAACCTACATCATCAGACAACTACCTCTACAGCCACCTACATCATCAGACAACTACCTCTACAGAAACCTACATCATCAGACAACTACCTCTACAGCCACCTACATTATCAGACACCTTCCTCTACAGCCACTTACATCATCAGACAACTACCTCTACAGAAACCTACATCATCAGACAACTACCTCTACAGCCACCTACATCATCAGACAACTACCTCTACAGCCACCTACATCATCAGACACCTTCCTCTACAGCCACCTATATCATCAGACAACTACCTCTACAGCCACCTACATCATCAGACAACTACCTCTACAGCCACCTACATCATCAGACAACTACCTCTACAGCCACCTACATCATCAGACAACTACCTCTACAGCCACCTACATCATCAGACAACTACCTCTACAGCCACCTACATCATCAGACACCTTCCTCTACAGCCACCTACATCATCAGACAACTACCTCTACAGCCACCTACATCATCAGACAACTACCTCTACAGCCACCTACATCATCAGACAACTACCTCTACAGCAACCTACATCATCAGACACCTACCTCTACAGCCACCTACATCATCAGACAACTACCTCTACAGCCACCTACATCATCAGACAACTACCTCTACAGAAACCTACATCATCAAACAACTACCTCTACAGCAACCTACATCATCAAACAACTACCTCTACAGCAACCTACATCATCAGACAACTACCTCTACAGCCACCTACATCATCAGACAACTACCTCTACAGCCACCTACATCATCAGACAACTACCTCTACAGCCACCTACATCATTAGACACCTTCCTCTACAGCCACCTACATCATCAGACAACTACTTCTACAGCCACCTACATCATCAGACAACTACCTCTACATCCCCCTACATCATCAGACACCTACCTCTACAGCCACCTACACCATCAGACAACTACCTCTACAGCCACCTACATCATCAGACACCTTCCTCTACAGCCACCTATATCATCAGGCACCTTCCTCTACAGCCACCTACATCATCAGAACCTTCCTCTACAGCCACCTACATCATCAGACACCTACCTCTACAGCCACCTACATCATCAGACAACTACCTCTACAGCCACCTACATCATCAGACAACTACCTCTACAGCCACCTACATCATCAGACACCTTCCTCTACAGCCACCTACATCATCAGGCACCTTCCTCTACAGCAACCTACATCATCAGACACCTACCTCTACAGCCACCTACATCATCAGACAACTACCTCTACAGCCACCTACATCATCAGACAACTACCTCTACAGCCACCTACATCATCAGACAACTACCTCTACAGCCACCTACATCATCAGACACCTACCTCTACAGCCACCTACATCATTAGACACCTACCTCTACAGCCACCTACATCATCAGACTACTACCTCTACAGCCACCTACATCATCAGACAACTACCTCTACATCCACCTACCTCTACAGCCACCTACATCATTAGACACCTTCCTCTACAGCCACCTACATCATCAGACACCTTCCTCTACAGCCACCTACATCATCAGACACCTACCTCTACAGCCACCTACATCATCAGACACCTTCCTCTACAGCCACCTACATCATCAGACAACTACCTCTACAGCCACCTACATCATCAGACAACTACCTCTACAGCCACCTACATTATCAGACAACTACCTCTACAGCCACCTACATCTACATACACCTACCTCTACAGCCTCACTGACCACTAACAGATAACAGATGATAACAGTCTTATCTCACTGATAAACCTCCTTACTGTGAGAGACAGACCAGTTATAAGAAGACTTCATGGAAATCTCAGACAAACCTGATTCTTGTTGAGCTCAATCTGTAGCTGAGCCAGCTTGTCTGCCAGAGAGTGCTGCTGGACTTGAACCTGGGCCTGGCTTGCTGACAGCTGATCTTCCAGGCTGTGAATCTGGGCAGACATCCACAATGTCCAGTCATTATATGCATTCTCTTTCATTATTTCATTTGATCTTTATCTCTTTTGATTCTCTCTCTCTCTCTCACACACTGTGTCTGTATCATTTAAATCTCATAAAGCAAACATGTGTACTTTATAATTCACACTTCACATCTCACAGAGCAAACATGAATACTATATAATTCACACTTCACATCTCATAGAACAAACAAGTTTACTATATAATTCACACTTCACATCTCATAGAGCAAACATGAATGCTATATAATTAACACTTAACATCTCATAGAGCAAACATGTATACAATATAATTCATACTTCACACCTCATAGAGCTAACATGTATTCAATATAATTCATACTTCACAGCTCATAGAGCAAACATGTATACTATATAATTCACACTTCACATCTCATAGAGCAAACATGTTTACTATATAATTCAGACTTCACATCTCATAGAGCAAATATGTTTACTATATAATTCACACTTCACATCTCATAGAGCAAACATGTTTACTATATAATTCACACTTCACATCTCATAGAGCAATCATGTTTACTATATAATTCACAATTCACATCTGATAGAGCAAACACTAATACTATTTAATTTTTACTTCACATCTCATAGAGCAAACATGTATACTATATGATTCACACTTTACATCTCACAGAGCAAACATATAATTCACACTTCACATCTCATAGAACAAACATGTATACTATATAATTCACACTTCACCTCTCACAGAGCAAACATATAATTCACACTTCACATCTCATAGAACAAACATGTATACTATATAGTTCACACTTCACATGTTATAGAGCAAGCATATATACTATAAAATTCACACTTTACATCTCATTAAGCAAACATGTATACTATATAATTAACACTTCACATCTTATAGAGCAAACCTGCATACTATATAATTCACACTTCACATCTCATAGAGCAAACATGTATACTATATAATTCACACTTCACATCTCTTAGAACAAACATGTATACTATATAATTCACACTTCACATCTCATAGAAAAAAAAACATGTTTCCTATATAATTCCCATTTCACATCTCATAGAACAAACATGTATACTATATAATTCACACTTCACATCTCATAGAGCAAACATCTATACTATATGCTGAATTATACACTGAGAAAGACAAATATACAACCACACAAACCAACATATGAACAAACACACTGGTGTTACAGAGTGACCTTGAGCTAAATGTGTACTCATTCCCACAACCACACAATTCTTGACATGGTGTGTGTGTGTGACTGTGTGTGGAAGGACACCAGACACCTACTTTCTGCTGCAGGCCCTGGATGTCCCCCTTGTGCAAGATGTCTGACATCAACTGTCGCACCAGCAACGAGAAGACCTTTTCTCTCCAACTATAAAACAACAGATCACATACATGGTTACAGTCGCATCTCTCTCTCCATCAGACAGTGATACAGAGTGAGAGAGTGAGAAAGTGCAATTGAGAGAGTGCAAGAGAGACAGAGTGCAAGAGAGATTACAGGAGAGAGTGCAAGAGAGAGAGTATAGGAGAGAGTGCAAGAAAGAGAACGAACGAACGAACGAACGAACAAACAAACTTTATTTTTAAAGGGTTAGGAATTGGGCACGCAGGCCTGTCTAACATTCTGCCCTTCGAGGCCTCCCTCCATTCTTACATCATTTCATTCACACATCAAGTAACATTAAAAGTTAGCAATAGCATCAGAATAATCAATACAAGCACTGGAATGTGCACATTTTTAACTACAGTAAAACGTATTAGTTGTAACAAATCTAAATTAATGGGCGCTATTTTTCACATATGTTTTATCTTCTATGGGGGCATATAATCAGTGCTGAGATAATATTGTATAAATGGACAGATAACACTTGTAAAAATAGACAAATGGATAGATAACAGTTGTATAAATGGACAAATGGACAGATAACGGTTGTATAAATGGACAGATAACACTTGTATAAATGGACAGATAACAGTTGTATAAATGGACAGATAACAGTTGTATAAATGGACAGATAACAATTGTATAAATGGACAGATAACAGTTGTATAGTTGGACAGATAACACTTGTATAAATGGACAGATAACACATGTATAAATGTACAGATAACACTTGTATAAATGGACAGATAACACTTGTATAAATGGACAGATAACAGTTGTATAAATGGACAGATAACACTTGTATAAATGGACAGATAACACTTGTATAAATGGACAGATAAACCTTGAAAAAATGGACAGATGACACTTGTACAAATGGACTGATAACACTTGTATAAATGTACAGATAACAGTTGTATAAATGGACAGATAACACTTGTATAAATGGACATATAACACTTGTATAAATGGACAGATAACACTTGTATAAATGGACAGACAACACTTGTATAAACCGACAGATAACATTTGTATAAATGGACAGATAACAGTTGTATAAATGGACAGATAACACTTGTATAAATGGACACATGGACAGATAACACTTGTATAAATGGACAAATGTACAGATAGCGCTTGTATAAATGGACAAATGTTTGGATAACATGTGTAGACATGAACAAATATTGGATAACATTTGAAGAGATGGACAAATAAATCCTCTAGGAATGAACAAATTAAAAAACCTGGCAACTTGCAGAGATCAAACTTTGAAGGAAGCTACAGAAACTCACCATGTCAGAAGTAAACTGGCCTGTTTAGCTTTCCCAGTGACACCAACTCTAGCCTGGGAGAAAACCATCAGACACTGTACATGCATATTGTGACAATACGCTCGGTGACTTCAGAAGGTCTTTCCTTAACCTACTTTTATTCCTTTGTGTTTCGAAGTATACAGAGATAAATGGATTTGGGTACATCCTTAATCTAAGTAGACGACCACATCAAACACTACAACTTTTTCCCAGATGTTAAGTGTCAAGGTACAGAGATAAGACTGACCAAGCAGACTTACTGACTGGAGATTTGCACACCATCTGTTGGTGTCAGATATTTTATCTCCTAGCCAGACTTTTAGGAGCAGCTAACTCCGGCTAATTGTGTTTAATTCCCCCTGAGGTTACCTAACTCAACGGCAGGTCCGACGGTCACTATTGACACAGTGAGCGGAAAGTGTTGGCAGAAGAATTGACAAAGTCGGATTTTATTGTGATGACAGGTGAAGTAGACTAGAGGTGTGACTTGGCCTATTAGCTTTGACCAGCTTAATTGAACCAGGAGATCCTAGCGTGGGAATTTAAACAAGTGTTGTACAGCCCTGACTGACAGCGAATAAACTTACCCACAGGGAGGAGCTATGATATCCTTGAATGAAAATGGTTTTAGGCGTAATGTAGGAGGAGCTTGATAAAAGTTATAAAGGGGTGAACGCTAGGTCTGGTAAATGAGATCCTGTCCAGCACATGCCATCTGTTGGGCTTAACCTAAGCTTGAGACAGAACTTTTGGCATCGTGGTTTCATTTTTCCAGGTAAGATCGAAATTAGGTTCAAATCTATATTTTATGATAGAGATCTAACCGTCTTTTTACTCAAGTGTGTGTCTTCATCACTTTGTAGTACTCCTAGGCGGACATTTCTTCATTCTCGTAGGGCACTGTCACATTGCTTTATATCCTATTTGATAGTGTCATGAATGTTCTTTCGTGCACATGTGTTTCAATGTTGTAAAACTTAAATGTTGATGTTACCATTGAAATTTAATTAACTATCATGTTTTTGAAATCACAAGCGTGAAGATAACTCTGGCAATCTTTTCACGCGTGGTTAATGTGAATCTGTATTACATACAGCTTACACACTGAAATGTGTTTAACTCTCGGGAGGCAAATGCGGAGATTGATCCCGGAGAGTAAATCCACGAGATTTGTTATTTGATTCGCCCCAGAACTATTGTTAGCATTCTGGGCGCGTCGATTGTTCCAAGCATAGATTCCAGAACTGGTTCTGTCTGACTGATTGTCATTTTGAGTCTGTACGAGAGATGGCACCTGACGTAGAAGACTTGACTATCATTACAGGACGTGTAGAGGAAGGCAGAAGATGTAACAGTTGGAATGTGAGACATAAGTCCTTCCAAATTGGACAGGAGTGAATGTGAGCATGAGGGAGAGATGAAATGTTTTATTTAAATAAACATGCTTGATGTTAGTATAATATACATGCTTAGTGTACATCTAGAGCAGATACTACAAATATGCGCTTGTTTCTTCATTCTCCAGTTCCCACATTGGGCAGGGACTAGTAGGCATCCATTATTTGCCGACCGTCGAGTGTAACGACCTGCAGAAAGCAGTGAGGACGACAAACTGGAAAAGATAGGCAGGGTCTCAAGCCGAGAACTGTCCTGTCGGTGAATTCTCCTACTAGGAGTTAAGTATATGTACAAACTGTCATCAATCACACTCCCTCAACTCTACTAGCCTAAACAAGTTCATTTTATTTTAATTTCGATTTATTCAAATAAATCATATGTGATGAGTTTCATGATAGTTGAGTAAATTGTGTACTTAGGTTCAAGTGTCTTTGTGCATATTAGTTTACTTCAGCTAACAAATATTTAAATCACTTGATGGGGGCTTTTAAGTAATGCCAGGAGAGGAGACCAGTCGCAGGGGTTAACTGAGCACCTGGATTATATCACAGTGGGTTTATCCAGATATCTATCTATCCCTTCTCCTACTCCTGTGGATACAAGTACAGCAACTTTCATTTCATGGAACGAGCCACTCGCTGTTTTCTTGGCTATCCAGGACTGTCTAGGATCAACATAGCTTAGATAATAGTCCAGTTTCTCACGTGGGTGGGCATTGTTAAGGTTCAAACCCACACCCTCACTATTTCAGTGTATTTACCCACGTGGGCGCGCGACACATATGTGTGTCTGTCTGGGATTTAGTGCCCATCCTCAAGTCTGTCTGGGATTTAGTGCTTTATCCTCAAGTCTGTCTGGGATTTAGTGCACCAACCTCAAGCCTGTCTGTCTGGCATTTAGTGCACCAACCTCAAACCTGTCTGTCTGGAGTTTAGTGCACCAACCTCAAGTCTGTCTGTCTGGCATTTACTGCACCAACCACAAGTCTGTCTGTTTAACATTTACTGCACCAACCACAAGTCTGTCTGTTTAACATTTATTGTACCAACCACAAGTCTGTCTGTTTAACATTTACTGCACCAACCACAAGTCTGTCTGTTTAACATTTACTGCACCAACCACATGTCTGTCTGTTTAACATTTACTGCACCAACCACAAGTCTCTCTATTTAACATTTACGGCACCAACCACAAGTCTGTCTGTTTAACATTTACTGCACCAACCACAAGTCTGTCTGTTTAACATTTACTGCACCAACCTCAAGTCTGTCTGTTTAACATTTACTGCACTAACCTCAAGTCTGTTTGTTTAACATTTACTGCACCAACTACAAGTCTGTCTGTTTAACATTTACTGCACCAACCTCAAGTCTGTCTGTCTGAGCACACCAACCTCAAGTTTGCCTGCCTGGGATTTAGTGCACCAGCCTCAAGTCTCTCCCTCTCTCCAATATTTACTTTCTATATCCCCCTCTTTCTCTCTAATATTTATCTTCAACTATATCATCTCTCTCTCTCTCTCTCCAACTATATACCCTCTCTCTCTCCAATATTTACCTTCAGCTATATCCTGTCTCTCTCTCTCTCCAATATTTACCTCCAGCTATATCCTGTCTCTCTCTTTCTCTCCAATATTTACCTTCAACTATATCCTGTCTCCCTCTCTCCAATATTTACCTTCAACTATATCCCCCCACCTATCCCCTCTCTCCAATATTTACCTTTAACTATATCCCCCCTCCTCTCCCCTCTCTCCACTTTTTACCTTTAACTATATCCCCCCTCCTCTCCCCTCTCTCCAATTTTTACCTTTAACTTTATCCCCCATCCCCTCTCTCCAATATTTGCCTTCAACTATATCCTGTCTCTCTCTCTCTCTCTCTCCAATATTTACATTCAACTATATCCCCCACCTCTCCCCTCTCTCCAATATTTACCTTTAACTATATCCCCCTCCTCTCCCCTCTCTCCAATTTTTACCTTTAACTACATCCCCCATCTCCAATATTTACCTTTAACTATATCCCCCTAATCTCCCCTCTCTCCGATTTTTACCTTTAACTATATCCCCCCTCCTCTCCCCTCTCTCCAATTTTTACCTTTAACTACATCCCCGCTCCCCTCTCTCTAATATTTACCTTTAACTATATCCCCCCCCCCTCTCCAATATTTACCTTTAACTATATCCCCCCTACTCTCCCCTCTCTCCAATTTTTACCTTTAACTATATCCCCCATCTCCTCTCTCCAATATTTACCTTTAACTATATCCCCATAATCTCCCCTCTCTCCAATTTTTACCTTTAACTATATTCCCCCATCCTCTCCCCTCTCTCCAATTTTTACCTTTAACTATATCCCCCCTCCCCTCTCTCTAATATTTACCTTTAACTATATCCCCCTCCTCTCCCGTCTCTCCAATTTTTACCTTTAACTACATCCCCTCTCTCCAATATCTACCATTAACTGTATCCCCCCCTCCCCATATTTTACCTTTACCTATATCCCCCCTTCCCTCCCCTCTCTAGAATATTTACCTTTAACTATATCCCCCCTCCGCTCCAATATTTACCTTCAACCATATCCTCCCTCTGTCCAAAATTTACCTTTAACTATATCCTCTCTCTGTCCAATATTTACCTTTAACTACCCTTCCCCTCCTCTCCAATATTTACCTTTAACTATATCTCCCCTCCTCTCTAATATTTACTTTAAACTATATCTCCCCTTCTCTTCAAAATTTACCTTCAACTATATCCTTTCTCTGTCCAATATTTACCTTCAACTATATCTCCCCTCCTCTCCCCTCTCTCCAATATTTACCTTTAACTATATCCCCCCTCCTCTCCCCTCTCTCCAATATTTACCATTAACTATATCCCCCATCCATTCCTCCATCTCGGACATCTGGATTCACCTATACACTAAGATGCAAGCTACAGACGTACCTTATCCAGCTTTTGCTCCTGGATAGAAAGAATCTCCTTTAGAGCTTGAAACCTGACCTCCATCAGTTCGATTGTAGAGGTCAGTTTGTGGTTTTCTGCTTCAGCAATCTTCAGTTTGTTATCCACTGCCTCTTTCTCCATCTTCCAGGCCAAGGCAGGCTTGCGTGTCTCCTCTGTGTCACAGATGTAGCTCTTCAGGCAGCAGATTTGCTGCGACTGCTCCTCCAGTTGCTGGCTCTTCTGCCTGTGAAGTTTAATTGTTCTCTGAACGGTCAGTGATTCTGGTTACAGCCAATGCTTTAGAGGCAATATAGTTATGGGACTTTACATACTTATAAAAACTATCTATGTCTGTATCTATGTCTTCTTCTTCCTCTTCTTTTCTTTTCTTCTTCTTCTTCTTCTTACATTTGTATAAGCAATCTAGGAATGGCTAAAACTGTCTTCAATAAGATACACAGATTACTGACAGCAATTACAATCGTCAAATGTTATGTATACTAAGTCCTGCTATGTGGTGCAGAAACATGGACAATGAAGAAGCAACTACAAAATCAAATGGAGTCTCTGGAGATGGAAACAGAATCAGTCACAAATCAGTGTTCTGGAAGGCTACAAGTGACAACAGAATTACTGAAAAAACTAAAACACTTGGCCACATTAAAAGACATAACATGCTTTTAAAAATCATACCGGAGGGAAAGGTTGAAGGCAAGAGAGCAAACTGTGGGCAACGATACAAGTGGGACAACAACATCAAGAAATAAATGAAAGAGTCAGGACAAGAGATAGAGCGCGTAGAAGATCTATTGCAGCGTACCTTCACTGTGGAGATGGCAACTGATTGATTGATTGACGGATAGGCAATCTAGGTGTGGGAGTGCACATACTTTTATAAGCAATCTAGGTGTGGGAGTGCACATACTTGTATAAGCAATCTAGGTGTGGGAGTGCACATACTTTTATAAGCAATCTAGGTGTGGAAGTGCACATACTTGTATAAGCAATCTAGGTGTGGGAGTGAACATACTTGTATAAGCAATCTAGGTGTGGGAATGTACATACTTGTATAAGCAATCTAGGTGTGGGAATGTACATACTTGTATAAGCAATCTAGGTGTGGGAGTGCACATACACGTATAAGCAATCTAGGTGTGGGAGTGTACATACTTGTGAAAGCAATCTAGGTATCAGAGTATACATACTTGTGAAAGCAATCTAGGTGTCGGAGTGTACATACTTGTATAAGCAATCTAGGTGTGGGAGTGCACATACTTGTATAAGCAATCTAGGTGTGGGAGTGCAAATACTTGTATAAGCAATCTAGGTGTGAAAGTGCACTTACTTGTATAAGGAATCTAGGTGTGGGAGTGCACATTCTGTATAAGCAATCTAGGTGTGGGAGTGCACACACTTTTACAAGCAATCTAGGTGTGGGAGTGCAAATACTTGTATAAGCAATCTAGGTGTGGAAGTGCACATACTTGTATAAGGAATCTAGGTGTGGGAATGCACATACTTGTATAAGGAATCTAGGTGTGGAAGTGCACATACTTGTATAAGGAATCTAGGTGTGGGAGTGCACATACTTGTATAAGCAATCAGTGTGGGAGTGCACATAATTGTATAAGGAATCTAGGTGTGGGGGTGTACATACTTGTATAAGCAATCTAGGTGTGGGGTGTACATACTTGTATAAGCAATCTAAGTGTGGGGGTGTACATACTTGTATAAGCAATCTAGGTGTGGGGTGTACATACTTGTATAAGCAATCTAGGTGTGAAAGTGCACTTACTTGTATAAGGAATCTAGGTGTGGGAGTGCACATTCTGTATAAGCAATCTAGGTGTGGGAGTGCACACACTTTTTACAAGCAATCTAGGTGTGGGAGTGCAAATACTTGTATAAGCAATCTAGGTGTGGAAGTGCACATACTTGTATAAGGAACCTAGGTGTAGGAGTGCACATACTTGTATAAGCAATCTAGGTGTGGGGGTGTACATACTTGTATAAGGAATCTAGGTGTGGGAGTGCACATAATTGTATAAGGAATCTAGGTGTGGAAGTGCACATACTTGTATAAGGAATCTAGGTGTGGGAGTGCACATACTTGTATAAGGAATCTAGGTGTGGAAGTGCACATACTTATATAAGGAATCTAGGTGTGGGAGTGCACATACTTGTATAAGCAATCAGTGTGGGAGTGCACATACTTGTATAAGGAATCTAGGTGTGGGAGTGCACATAATTGTATAAGGAATCTAGGTGTGGGGGTGTACATACTTGTATAAGGAATCTAGGTGTGGGAGTGCACATAATTGTATAAGGAATCTAGGTGTGGGAGTGCACATAATTGTATAAGGAATCTAGGTGTGGGAGTGCACATAACTGTATAAGAAATCTAGGTGTGGGAGTGCACATACTTGTATAAGGAACCTAGGTGTAGGAGTGCACATACTTGTATAAGCAATCTAGGTGTGGGTGTGTACATACTTGTATAAGGAATCTAGGTGTGGGAGTGCACATAATTGTATAAGGAATCTAGGTGTGGGAGTGCACATACTTGTATAAGGAATCTAGGTGTAGGAGTGCACATAATTGTATAAGCAATCTAGGTGTGGGGGTGTACATAATTGTATAAGCAATCTAGATGTGGGAGTGCACATAGTTGTATAAGCAATCTAGGTGTAGGAGTGCACATACTTGTATAAGCAATCTAGGTGTGGGGGTGTAATACTTGTATAAGCAATCTAGATGTGGGAGTGCACATAGTTGTATAAGCAATCTAGGTGTAGGAGTGCACATACTTGTATAAGCAATCTAGGTGTTGGAGTGCACATAATTGTATAAGCAATCTAGGTGTGGGGGTGTACATAATTGTATAAGGAATCTAGGTGTGGGAGTGCACATACTTGTATAATGAATCTAGGTGTGGGAGTGCACATACTTGTAAAAGCAATCTAGGTGTAGGAGTGCACATACTTGTATAAGCAATCTAGGTGTGGGGGTGTACATACTTGTATAAGCAATCTAGGTGTGGGGGTGTACATACTTGTATAAGCAATCTAGGTGTCGGGGTGTACACAATTATGCAACAAATCCAGGCACGGGAGTGTTCAAACTTGTACAAACTAGACATGTTATTATTTATACTAACTAGATAGGTGTGGTGAAGTAACAGAGCTAGATATACAAACTAACAATGTGGGCAAGTGACATAGTTAGTTAGTTAGTCTTTCCTCTTGTGTCGAGTGCGGCACATAGGGCAGAGGTCATGACTCTCCATGCATGGCGGTTCGTTGCAATCTGTTGTAGGTCTTGGATGTTTGAGAGGCCCTTCCCTGATGATAGTTCTATGTGGGGTTTCCCTTGGTCTTCCACGAGATCTTTTCCCCTGTGGTGTCCAAATGAGGGCTTGGTAAGGAAGTCTTGATTTATCCATTCTAAGGGCGTGGCCGACATAGTTCCAGCGGCGTTTTCGTATAAAATTAGACACATACTCTTGCCTGGATTCTTGCCTTATTTGTGTATTGGTTCGGAAATCTGACCATTTGAAATTTAGTATTCTTCTAAGGCATTTATTTTCAAAACTGTCTAATTTTGTGTCTAGAGTTTTCGTTGATTTCCAGCTCTCGCATCCATAGGTTAGTACTGGAATCACACAAGAATTGAAGATCTTGAGTTGTGTGTGTTTGCTAAGTGTCTTTGATTTCCAGATGTTGGACAGTGACAAGTGACATAGCTAGTTATATAAGCTAGAGAGATGTGGGGAATAGAAACAGCTAGTTATATAAACTAGACAGGTGTAGGGAAGTGATGGAATTAGTTATACAAACTAGACACATGTAGGGAAGTGACAGAGCTAGCTATACAAACTAGACAGGTGTGGGAGTGCAAACAGAATTACTGGAAGAAACTAGACAAAAACAAACAGGAGTTTAGAATTAACAGGAATTATGGAAATTTGTTGGTCAGGAAATGGAAGAGGTGGGAGGAGGAGGAAGAGAGGGGGGGCTGCTGAGAAATAAGATTCTGGGTGGCTAAGTGACAGAAGAAGTGATCAATATGGTACGGGAAAGGACAGCTGGCTTAGTGAGACAACCTGCGGTCTCACAGTACAGGCCCCAGCAACTGTTCACACATACCTGAGTTCAGCCTCCAGCTGTCGTCTGCTGCTGTCACTGTCATGTTGAAGCGACCTCAGTTCTTCCTCAAGGTCGTGTACACGTGTCTCCAGCAACAATCTGGTACTCTCCAGCTTCTCCTGGAGAGCTGAGGTCTGCATCTGCTTGTCTGTGGACGTACGCTCTAGTTCACCCTGGAGTCTGCAAAGCTGTCAAGGTCAGGAGTTCAAGGTCAACCATTATGTTTATATGTACGTTTCCATTTTTTTCTAACACTATTTCTATGTTAATATTTTATAGTGACATATCTATGTTAACATTTTATAGCGACATATCTATGTTAACATTTTATAGTGACATATCTAGTGGTGTTTACACGTTAACATTTTCTAATGGTGTTTCTACATTAGCATTTCTAGTGACAATTCTATGTTAACATTTTTCTAATAAAATTTATATGTTAACATTTTCTAGTAACATTTCTATGTCTTTAATGATAGCTCATTCTGACAGGTTCAATATTTAATGATAATAATAATAATAACAATAATCCACTTTTATCCACTTTATTGAACAGATCTTTGTGAGTAACATTCTTAGCCACTTCATGAACAGATTTATATATTTCATTCTCATCCATTTCATATGTGAATAACTCATTCTTATCCATTCCACAACTGGATCGATAACAACAATCCATTTCACATTCACAACAATGACTCCCTGTTACCAGTTGAACATAACTATAATTGTATTTGATTACAATAAGACATTAACTTGACAAATGTAACCCAGTGTGAGTTTCACTTGATGTGAGTTTCACTTGATGTGAGTTTCACTTGATGTGAGTTTCACTTGATGTGAGTTTCACTTGATGTGAGTTTCACTTGATGTGAGTTTCACTTGATGTGAGTTTAACCTAATGTGACTTTAATCTAATGTGACTTTAACCTAATGTGACTTTAACCTAATGCAAGTTGAACTTGATGTGGCTGTAACTTACTTTGATGTCACGTTCCTCCTCCACACTAGCCAGATTTTTCTCCAATCGCCTGACTTCTGCTGCATGCTCCTCCTCCAGCAGTGACAATCTGGCCTTCCAGTCTGCAGTATCTTGCTCATAAGCCAGGTGGATTTTCATGACCTCTGACCTCAGCTCTACAATCTCCCCAGCCTGCCGCTGTATCAGCTCATCTACGTAATCCTTCTTCGGGTGAGCACACGGTGGCGCCACCTGTCGCGGAGCACACAGTTTTATCAGATTTGTATGTGATTAAAATGAACGACACTGAAAGCTGAGAACTGGGCAAGGAACAAGATACAACTCTTCTTTGCCAGGTATTGGTCCATGGAGGTTAAAGCCCTGGAATAGAGTGCCGTTTGTTGACTGAAGGTGGAATACAGATATTTCTGCCAACGTGGTGCCAGGGTACTGTCTCCATGGGGACTGCATTGAGATGCTCTCCCTTTCCTCTCTGCCCTCAAACCAGCTGTCGTGGTGCACAACTTATACTGAAACTGACATCTGTAGATAGGCACCTATATTCAGTTGTAGTCCGATCATGCTTTAGCACAGCAGGTACGGATTGGGTGGGATCAGGTGTAGGCTGGCTGGAGGATGGAGTGCAGGGTGGGTGGGAAAAGGGGTCAAGAGTGGGCTGGCTGGGGTCAGATGTGGACTAAATGTCAGTGATATTCCAGTATAAACCAGTGATATTCCAACATGTCAGTGTTAAACCCGGTGCCCCCCCCCCTCCCTCCTATCCCAGTTGCTGTGACACACCCAACATGACATCTGTTTCAGGCCACTCAACATGACACCCGTGTCAGGCCATACAACATGATACCTGTGTCAGGCCATTCAACATGACACCTGTGTCAGGCCACTCAACATGACACCTGTGTCAGGCCACCCAACATGACACCCATAACAGGCTACCCAACATGACACCTGTGTCAGGCCACCCAACATGACACCTGTGTCAGGCCACCCAACATGACACCTGTGTCAGGCCACTCAACATGACACCTGTGTCAGGCCACCCAACATGACACCCATATCAGGCTACCCAACATGACACCTGTGTCAGGCCACCCAACATGACACCTGTGTCAGGCCACCCAACATAACACCTGTGTCAGGCCACCCAACATGACACCCATATCAGGCTACCCAACATGACACCTGTGTCAGGCTACCCAAGATGACACCTGTGTCAGGCCACCCAGCATGACACCTGTGTCAGGCCACCCAACATGACACCTGTGTCAGGCTACCCAACATGACACCTGTGTCAGGCTACCCAACATGACACCCATGTCAGGCTACCCAACATGACACCTGTGTCAGGCCACCCAACATGACACCTGTGTCAGGCTACCCAACATGACACCTGTGTCAGGCTACCCAACATGACACCTGTGTCAGGCCACCCAACATGACACCTGTGTCAGGCCACCCAACATGACACCTGTGTCAGGCTACCCAACATGACACCTGTGTCAGGCTTCCCAAGATGACACCTGTGTCAGGCCACCCAACATGACACCTGTGTCAGGCCACCCAACATGACACCTGTGTCAGGCCACCCAACATGACACCTGTGTCAGTCTACCCAACATGACACCTGTGTCAGGCCACCCAACATGACACCTGTGTCAGGCCACCCAACATGACACCTGTGTCAGGCCACCCAACATGACACCTGTGTCAGGCTACCCAACATGACACCTGTGTCAGGCCACCCAACATGACACCCATATCAGGCCACCCAACATGACACCTGTGTCAGGCTACCCAACATGACACCGGTGTCAGGCAACCCAACATGACACCCATATCAGGCCACCCAACATGACACCTGTGTCAGGCCACCCAACATGACACCTGTGTCAGGCCACCTAACATGACACCTGTGTCAGGCTACCCAACATGACACCTGTGTCAAGCTACCCAACATGACACCTGTGTCAGGCCACCCAACATGACACCTGTGTCAGGCCACCCAACATGACACCTGTGTCAGGCCACCCAACATAAAGATAAGACCAACCAGCAAGTTGTAGAATACTCACATGGCTCTGTAGCTGGTCCTGACCATACCTGCAACAAACAAATAAACACATAACTGAACAAACAATATCAAGTTTTTGGGGCAGGTGGGGGGGGGGGGGGTGTTCAGGTGTGTGCTGGCAGGGGTCAGATGTGGGCTCGCAGGGGGTCAGGAGTGGACTGGCTGGGGTCAGATGTGGACTATATATCAGTTTTAAACCCAGTGATATTTCAACATGTCAGTATTAAACCCAGTGCCACCCCCCCCCCTCCCCCTTTCCCCTATCCCAGTCAAGCTTACCAGGACTTGATTATTCTAATTATTCACAATTTCCCAACTCCAGACAAACAAGAGATGATGTCTCCCTGTTAACAACAAGATAGTGACATTGTGAGACATCATCATAAGACATCATCATGAGACATCATCGCAAGAGAAACTGTACACAAATTGGGCAGACATAATTACTTGCTGTGTACTTGGTGCCGGTGAGTGGCTCTGTCCACATCTCTAGTTACAGGCTTCTCAAACTCTGATGGAGGCAGCAGCTGCCAGCTAAGCTTGTCTTCAGCTGCCACAAACAAAAAGTATGCCAATATTAACACCGACAAGGTGGAGATCATATCTGTACAAAGATAACATTAAGACCATCTCTCCGAGACGTAGAGGTCAAATCAAGGAGAAACTCTGGCGATACTATTTTATCGACACATAATATTCTAGACAGTGTATACAATACCTTATACATCAGGAAATTCAAGAGTCATCATCGTCTAACAAACAATGCAGCACTTAGTCTGTTTTATTAATTATATCTCAATCCGGTTATCCAAACAAACAAAAAAAGTACTGAGAAGAAACCATGACCTACTGAACTTGTATACCACAGAAGAAGTCCTTAGAAACGGTTGACTACAAGATGTTAAAAGTTTAACAAACAAGAACTTAACAAACTAATATTGGTCTGTCGACGCAATATTGGTGGTGCCCTTATGTGATTAAAATTGATAGCGTGTGCAACTGCTGATCTGTTGGTAATTTCTGCTACCGTCAATGATGAACTGCATTTCTAATGTCGGACTGTTTGTGTTAGCACTTATTATGGTTATCATATGCTTTTAATGCGTGTGTATGCTAGATATGCTGAGACAGCAGTTCTGTCATTCTTTCCACAAGGGACTGTGATAAACACTGTGTTTTTCATTGGCACAGGAGCGGAGCAACTATAGAGTGACTCGTTTGCTATGAATCTTAAACTAAGATTACCAATAAACTAAACAAACACAAACTGACAAGTGTAGAGAGAGAGGGGGGAGAGAGAGCAAAGCTGCAGGAGATGCAGAAGCTGCTGCTTGTGAGACTCAGCCATCTAGTTAAGCCCCAATCCACGCCACTCACGCTGCGTGGGGGATACTCTCGCGGTGGCGGTAGTCGACGGAAAACCGCAAATAAGGTCGCCGAAGTGTGCAGTTGACACGTGACTGAGGCTCTGTTAGGGTGTTTTTGCGGCCGCCATATTTTGTGCCCATTGGGAAAGAGAAAGAAGGCGCTGGGAGAGAGAAAGAAAAAAAAAAAAACTTAAAACTGTGCCAGAAGATAGAACTTACAACTGTACCAGAAGAGAGATAGAACAAACATAACTTTAAGAGACCAAACTTACAGTTACAACTGTGCCGGGAGGGAGAGAGGGAACAAACTTACAACTGTGCCGGTCGTGCAATGCTGGCGGGACCCGTATTAAAATTGATCGCCCGGGCAACTGCTGATCTGTTGGCGACAAGTTCTGCTATCATCAATGATGAACTACATTTCTAATGTTGGACTGTTTATGTTAGCACTTCGGATGGCTACCATATGCGTTAATGCGAGTGTATGCTAGATATGCTGAGACAGCAGTCTGTCAATCTTTCCACAAGGGACTGTGATAAACATTCTGGGTGTTTTTCGCTGGCACAGGAGCGGAGCAAAGATGGGGCGACCCGTTTGCTATGAAGCTGAAACTAAGACTACCAGACCAGACCAAACTGTGCCGGGAGGGAGAGAAAGAACAAACTTACAACTGTGCCGGGAGGGAGAGAAAGAACAAACTTACACCTGTGCCGAGAGAGAGAAAAAACATACTTACAACTAGAACCAGAGAGAAAATCCCCAGGTTTGCTTTCGTTGGCGGCCATTGGAGTCTGCCGAAAAGCGTCTCGATGCTGGGATGTTTCCCTGTCCAAGCTCCCACAGAAAGCTAAACCCGCCAGTTAGTCCACTCGTGTAGGTTCTGTGTAAACTGGACAGCGGTCATGCAATATTTACAAAGCTTAGGACAGTTAACCTCTATTATTTTCCATTTTATCAACTATAAAATCCAGAATGAAGACCACAATTGTCGTAAAAGTGGATTACATTTACGGCAAACAAACAATTATCATGACAACGAGATCAATGTCTGCATTATAATCATCATCATGTGGCCAGTAGTGAATAGACGATTCTTCTTCCTCTTCTTCGTCTTCTTCTTCTTCTTCTTCTTCTTCTTTTTCTTCTTTTTCTTCTTTTTCTTCTTCTTCTTCTTCTTCTTCTTCTTCTTCTTCTTCTTCTTCTTCTTCTTCTTCTTCTTCTTCTTCTTCTTCTTCCCTTCTAGCTCCCAACCAACTCAGGCCAGGTTGTTCAATATTTTGCTATCTCAAGCAGTTCTCACGTTCTCCCCATCTTTCTAACTTTATTCTCCAACTCCTTTATACTTGTGTTTTTTGGCCTTTCTATAACATAGTGAGTTCTAACATTCAAGGTGCCTATTCTAAAGGTTTTTCTAGCTGAGAGGAGGTATGACGACGATCCGGACTCCTTTCAGCTTTCTCCACACCGAGTCATACATCTTTTAAAAGAGCCTCCCCTCGTCTTTGTTGGCTGGGTTTTTTTTTGCTTCTCTTTTTGACTTATCCATGTGTTGTTGGTTATGGTGGCTATCGTTTTTACAAGATGAGGTAGCCAACCTCAAGCCCAACCCTACCGTTAGTCGCCTGGTAGGGTGCAGTGTCACTATTCTTTGTTTCCCGTGAGGGCCTTGGTGACACACGGGCGGGGTATATAGTGCTAAACAGACGATTATCTCATCACAAATGGCAGGAAAGTTTCACAGTTTTTACGATTTCATTGCTGCGTTTTTCTTTAATATCTTGTCCAAACTTCTGCCTTTTCACACACGTACACCAGGGGCCTATTCTGCAAAACCCCAATGAGGCCCTGAACTCCACATTGGAAAGTGTACGAAGTGACGGGATGTCACAGCTCTCTGGACAGATGCCTGGCTGCCCCAGCATCCGCCTGAGTAGCTCCAGTCATACCGGTTGTGCTCTGGTTAAACGTCTTGTGCCCATATTTGGCTGCTTCCTAGAATCCGTGTGCTGTTATCGCATTCAACGCCCTCCCTCACCCCTAGAATAATTATGGGGGTGGGGTGGGAGGGGGACTTGATGCTTGCGATTTTTTTTAAAACTTGGCCCAGAGAAGATCAGAAGAATAGTTAATAGAATAGTGTACATAGTCTGTTTTGTGTCCAGTTTGCAACAATCCTGTCTTGTACGTATGACAGCAGAGTCAGAGTTGTGTCCAGTTTGCAAAAACCCTGTCTTGTACGAATGAAAGCAGAGTGTTGTGTCCAGTTTACAACAGTCTAAATATCTTGTTTTTATCACAGCAGAGACTTAGTCTCTGTTTCGTGACGAGATAAAGTGTTAGGTACGAAGGTGGGAGTATCGCCCTACGCTTCAACCATAACCCGGAGGGCCAGGGAAATTAGAGTGTACTATAGGTGAAACTACAGGAATACTTGGATATGCTTCTGTGTTGTCACAATTTTACGTTCATTTTAGGATCAAAGTGTCCATTTTTACCACCGATAGCATAGATAGTATACAATGTGTGTAGTTACTGTTAACCATGTGCACAGAGTTATTTCGGCACACGGTAGATGTGCGTTATATTGAGACACAATGTAACCATTGCACAGAGTTAGTTTAAGACTTGAGACACAATGTAACCATGTGCACAGCATAAGACTTGAGTGTGCGTTAGTGTGTGTGTGCACAGAGTTAGATAATTTAGGTTATTGCAACATTTGATAGATTATGCATCAGTTGTAACAACCACTAGTTTAGGTTGACTGTATAATAGTGCACGGAGATGGTGTAGGACGAGACACACACCAACCATGTGAACAGAGTTAGTGTAAGACTTGAGACACAATGTAACCATGTGCACAGAGTTAGTTTAAGACTTGAGACACAATGTAACCATGTGCACAGAGTTAGCATAAGACTTGAGACACACGGTAACCATGTGCACAGAGTTAGTGTAAGACTTGAGACACAATGTAACCATGTGCACAGAGTTAGTGTAAGACTCGAGACACACAGTAACCATGTGCACAGAGTTAGTGTAAGACTTGAGACACACAGTAACCATGTGCACAGAGTTTGTGTAAGACTTGAGACACGCAGTAACCATATGTAAGACTTGAGACACACACGAACCATTTGCACAGAGTTTGTGTAAGACTTGAGACACACTCGAACTATTTGCACAGAGTTAGTGTAAGACTCGAGACACACAGAAACCATGTGCACAGAGTTAGTGTAAGACTTGAGACACACAGTAACCATGTGCACAGAGTTAGTGTAAGACTTGAGACACAATGTAACCATGTGCACAGAGTTAGTGTAAGACTTGAGACACACAGAAACCATGTGCACAGAGTTAGTGTAAAACTCGAGACACACAGAAACCATTTGCACAGAGTTTGTGTAAGACTTGAGACACACACGAACCATTTGCACAGAGTTAGTGTAAGGTTTGAGATACACAGTAACCATGTGCACAGAGTTAGTGTAAGGTTTGAGATACACAGTAACCATGTGCACAGAGTTTGTGTAAGGTTTGAGATACACAGTAACTATGTGCACACGGTTACTGTAAGACTTGAGACACACACCGATCATGTGCACAAAACTACTTAAAGACATCGAATACAAAAATTTTATCAAGGACCAGACAAACAAATGTAGCCTTAATAAAAGCCTATAACAAGCAACAACTTAGTTTATAAACAATGTAGAGTGTATTATTTGGTATGTATGTTGAACAGGTGACGAGTGTGCTGGTGGCTCCGATGAAGTCCAACAACTGGAGGTCATCATAGAGGGCTGTACTGTGGATGTTGCCAGACTTCTGACCTCACGTCAGCTGGCGCTAGACATGAACAGTTGGCACCCCACTGGTGGTGTGGTCTACATCAGTCAGACACAGGTCAGTGTGGCTGTTCCCCACTGGTGGTGTCTACATCAGTCAGACACAGGTCAGTGTGGCTGTTTGCTATGTTTGGGTGACATTAAAATGTAGAGTTAGAAAAACATTAGCAATACTGAACGATTTCTCGCCAGTGAACAAGTCAGACTTGTCGGCAGTCACTGGAGCAGATCAGCAAGATTGGACTGGTTGATGCCTTGGTAGGCCAGTCCTGTGTGGTTATTGCATGCAGTGCGGTCAGGCGTCAGAGGTGAGTGTGTGCACCTCCTCACGGTAATACCATCAGATGGTAGTTGCGCAGTCTCACAGACTCTACATGATGCTGCAGAGCCAATGTCTGCTGTTGGGCGGCCTCTTGACTTCAGGAACTGACGGCGTCACTGACTCCTGGTCCTGCGCTGTGTCCTGCTCAACGCTGGAGTCCGTGCCTGTGCTGGCGACAACTGGTTTCATCAGCAGCCGGACACTGGTTTCTCTCAGGTAGTCCACCTCATCTGTGTGTGTGTGTGTGTGTGGGGGGGGGGATATAAAAAACACCATTTAATATTTTCATGTTGATAGGTGTTAATGATCAGTACATGTAAGCAACAGTTCAGTACATGTAAACAACGTTCAGTACATGTAAACAACAGTTCTGCACATGTACGCGGCGGATCAGTACAAGCAAGCACCAAGACAAATATATGTAAGCAACAAATCATTACATGAAAGCAACGAGAACAAATAAGACAGCAACGAGACAAATATATGTAAGCAACAGATCAGTACATGCAAGCGACAGATCAGTACATGCAAGCAACAGATCAGTACATGTAAGCAAGTACATGTAAACAACAGATCAGTACATGTAAGCAAGTACATGTAAGCAACAGATCAGTACATGTAAGCAACAGATCAGTACATGCAAGCAACAGATCAGTACATGTAAGCAACAGGTCAGTGCATGTAAGCAAAAGATCAGTACATGTAAGCAACAGATCAGTACATGTAAGCAACAGATCAGTACATGTAAGCGACAGATCAGTACACGCAAGCAACAGATCAGTACATGTTAGCAAGTACATGTAAGCAACAGATCAGTACATGTAAGCAAGTACATGTAAGCAACAAATCAGTACATGTAAGCAACAGATCAGTTCATCTGAGCAAGTACATATAAGCAACAGATCAGTATATGTAAGCAACAGATCAGTACATGTAAGCAACAGATCAGTACATGCAAGCAACAGATCAGTACATGTAAGCAAGTACATACAAGCAACAGATCAGTACATGTAAGCAACAGATCAGTATATGCAAGCAACATATCAGTACATGTAAGCAACAGATCAGTACATGTAAGCAACAGATCAGTACATGTAAGCAACAGATCAGTACATGTAAGCAAGTACATATAAGCAACAGATCAGAACATGTAAGCAGTGGATGAGTACCTGGCGATAAATCTGTGTTTCCGTGACTCAAGACGGCCATGACCTCAGGCGTGCAGGAATGCAACATCTCACATCTCTGCGAGGTCGCCATCTCTTGTGGGTGTTCCAGCAATGTCAGCTCTTTCTTCTTGTTGGCCCGGACATTCCTCACCTGCATGATGATCCTGGAGGACACAGATTCATCACCGACGCCTTTAGTCCGCGAGTCGTGGGCACGCAGATAATTCTTCTGGCTGACATTGTGTCTCTTCACCGCCGGCAGACGGTTGCCCTAGAAACAAGCAGAAGCCTTCAGTGGCGGACTTGGGCTCTAGAGGTCCCCTGACACACACAAAAACCCTCCAAGATCTTTGACCTGTTGGTCGCCAGCACAGCAAAACTTACACAACAACAAAACACAGAGCACAGCAGGTTCAGTTACCATTTTTCACATTGAAAATATGTGT